ATAGCATGGGAGAAGGGAGTAAATAAAAAATGCTATTTTTTTTTTAGAAGAGATTTTTGCTATAGGGCATGTATGTTCACCAAAGAGACCTAAAGCGAGAAATCACCCCTCGCGCCTGGGGTGGGGATGGTCACACTGCAATCCCTTCTCTGCCATTCTCCTCTCAGGATTTCAGGCATGCATGCACACATGCCTGGCTTGAGTTTCAAGTCTCTGGGTCTGGGACTTGAACCATGGTTAGCCATGTGGGAGTCCAGTGACATAGCCATTATGTCACCTGCTGGTCCCTAAAATACTACTCTTAAGTTCTCCATATTGCACCCCTCATAAAACCAATTATTACTCAGCAAAAAAGGAACTTTTTGATGATGAGATGGAGGGAGGATAGTGACATACATAACATTTATAGTTGACAATGTTTATAGTTGACGCAATACTTACAGTTGACTTTATGAGGGAACAGAGTGAGATCAGTGTAGTTCAGGTCCTTGACAGATATTCATATTCTATGACCCTACAGTAGAAAATCACAATCACTCCCCCATTAAGTTTTACTAAAGGCCTGAGTGAAAATGAATGATGATCCTCTTAGACATCGAAGCACACACAGGAACTTGCCAGAGAAAATGACAAACTGACCGGGAACTGATCCTTGATATTCACAATGCAACACAAACAGCCTACATGAAATAGGAAAACAATGATGAGAAAGGACCTTTTGATATCTGTGATGCAAGAGGTCAGGCAAAGGATACTGCCAGCACAAAAATGACTAAATATTCTCCTCTTTGACCACCACCAGTTACTACTGCTTTTTTCCTAATGACCACTGCCCTCCCTTAATCTTCCTAACACCTACACAAAAGTTACCAAGATAGTCAATTCCTGAATTGCCCTAGTTCACTAAACCCTTCTTAAAATTCACCCAGCACAAGCCCAAATCATATAAAAAGCCTGCCCAAATGCCTATTAGCAAAACATCCACATTCCTGTGCTGTACAATCTGCCTTGCCACAACAAGCAAAGTGAACCTAATTTGTTTGACGGCAAGCTTGTTTCCGGTGATTCTTGGCTGGTAGGCTTCAATAGAAGGAAAACAAGAAATTTACATCTGTCCCAGGGTCAGACCATTGGTTCCACTCTTGGTTTTAAAAATGCTATTATCATAACTATGCTGTTCAAGTAACGAAAGAAGTTAGTACATAAGAAAAGGAGTCCCATTGGAGATTATTGTCAGTAAGTGACTATGGCCACCAGCCATCTAATTATGTGAATCTCTATGTAGTTACAGGTGTCGCTACCTGTAGCTACAAGTGTCGCAGTGGGTAGTGGTACAGTCTTTCTTACAGTGTTATTAGTTCACAAAAAAGAAGGAAAATGTTCACCATAATCTAATAAGTACCATTTCGGATGTAAATGTAGTTCCCAATTTAAGAGGTTATCATTTGTGACTTTAAAAAGACTCATTACTATAAAAACATTTTCTGATATATAGAAATCTAAACCTAAAATTTCATCCTTAAAAATCAAGGAATATTGACTTAAAATTAAGATATAAAATAATTACAATGACAAAAAGTATGTTTTTTAGCACTTACTAAGTGACGGATTTCTGTCAGTTTACATTGTTACACATCATCCTGGAAACCACCTTTTAATGATGTCCCCATTTTACAGATCATGAAACAGAAGTTCAAAGACAATCATGGACTAACCTAAGAAGCAAAACTGTAAGTGGCAAAATCAAGGTTTGAAACCCAAATGTCTATAATTTCAAACTCCAAGTTTCTCCTGGGTGGGAAAAGGAAATACTGTCCTTGCATTGATTATGAAATTTGATGATAACAAAAGCAGTTACAAAAAATAGATCACTACTTAAAGTGTCTTATAGTATTAGAATTTATCTTGCCATGTCACGAGACCATTCCTATTATTCCATTTATAGTTAAAATCTACCACAGAAAGTTGTCTTTTATAAACTTCTTGCTGTATTGTGTATACTTGATATAGAGTTTATATTAATAAACACCATATTTTAAAAACTAGCTGGTAAATAAATTATCTGGATATACTCTTGATTTTTTTTTTGTAAACTTCCCTTTTTCTGAGTTATCCTCGAAAGAGGATGAAGAGGAAATAATGCCTGTGTGAACAATGCATGTGTGAAGAGAATTTCAATGGGAAAGCTGTAATCTCCCCTCCCCAATAAATTAAATAAAAATAAAAGGACCTTTAAGAGACACTTTCACTAGCAGTTCTTTCCTGAATAAAATAAATAAGACCAAAGGGCACCTTGACTACTACTTGGGAAATAAAATCAGAACACAGGGAAATCTGTAATTCTAATCACATCTACACCTTCTCTCCTTTTTTACATTTCTCATCCAAACATCCTTAAGAGCTCAATAGGCTTAAAAGAATTGGAGCAGGATCGAGAACAAAGGTGAGAGGGATCTAAGAAACTGTTCAAGTGGTTGTTCTCACCATTTGAATAATTCCAAATCAAAAAATATATTCTTCAGAAGGTGTAAAACTTACAAATATAGGAAGAAATTGCAAAAGTTGTTCTACCTGCTTATATTATAAAAATGGCATTTTGGCTAGACAACTTAGGAATTAAGAACCACTGCGGACAAGAAATGCAAAAAATCACTAATATATATATACATATATATATATATATATATACACATACACACACACACACACACACACATACACATATGTGTGTGTGTGTATTTCCAAGGGGAACAAAGCAAATGTATTAGCTTCAGTCAGTGGAAGACTGTGCTCAGTGATGTTTAAAAGAACATTTTCATGTGGAAATAACTACTTATGTATTAACTATGCTCTCTCTTGAGATTGGGGATAATTTTAGACAATAAGATACCCCTCTACTATATTAAAGCATATTAAATACTACAGTCATCTATAAATACAAAAAAAATCAAGAACATTTATGAAGCATGGGGTATGTGTGTTTCCTCAACTTAGGAATGAAATTTTTTTAAGCGAGAAGAAAGAAATTAATGTTAGTATTTTGTAGAATTATTCAAATGAAAGAATAACCAGCTAGACAGAGAAAAGAAAAAAAAAATCAGAATTACATCAAATCATACAGGAGTGCTTTTATTGGGTGAGTCCAACCCAGAATAATACTTTCATCTGACTTTTTCTTAATGAAAATACTAAAGGGTCTTGCATTTCTTTTCACCAACACTACAGATGTCAAGAAGGGTACAATCCTGCACAATCCTTTTGGTAGGAGTGGCTATGATTCCTTTACTACCTCAAGCCACAGATAAAGAAAGGTACTCTGGATGGGGAAATGATCTTGATGACTTAGAAAAGAACCTTCTTGCCATCCTGGCACTTTTTGTCTGTCATGTGTTTCAAAGGCAGTAATTCCAACCATTTCCTTCTCTGGAAGGCAGAGCTCCAATTTACCCTCACATTCTGGTAAAATGCTATCTCAGTGATTGATAGTCTGGAAAGTTCCTCTTGAAAAGAGATGACACACAAGTTTCTAGAAATGAAACACCTTTAGTCCATGTGTTGCATTCAGCAGATAACAGAAATACTGAGATAGGAGAGAGGAGTGAAATCAAGGTCTTACTGGGGAGCTGTTGATTTACAGTGAATGTATCAAAATTGTGGTATGGAGGGCAAACTTTAATACAATTGATTCAGGTGAGGATTTCACAGTTCAACGTCCTCATCACCCACATACCCTCATACACACATGCTTCAGTTTTATCAGAAGCTGATAAAGGAGTTTCATGTCTTAACGAATAGAAATGTATAGAAAAAGCACCTCCTACCAAATGGGTATTCAAATAAATATTTGTGTGTTTAAGACGGGTCATGTAAATTCAGATTGAGTCAATGTTCCCAAATACCCACTTAAGAATTGAGTTCACAATCAGCAAATCAATCAAGGAAAGCGGCCACAGCTCAGCAGTGCTAAGATCAAGTCTCCCCACCCTGGAAACTCAAGAGGATGGATTTTATACTCAAGTATCCTCCACAAAGTCTTTGTTCAACCAATAACCACACAGCGTCTGTCTGTTCACAGTCACAGCTAAAAGATGTGCTTTGCTCCAGTAAGATCTTACTTATCTCCAGACACCTGCTACTGCGCTTGACAACTAAGACATACTCTTCCCGACAGAACGTGTGCGGGAGCTCCAGCTCTTCCAGCAAATGTGTGCGGTGGGGATGAGGAGCACAGGATGGATGTGTAGCCAAAGGGGCTTCAAGGAAGCATGGTCTACACTGGCCACACTAACCGACTTCTTCCCCCCTGAATCTCTGGGGTTTCTCATCTACGCTAACTGGCTCCCCAATTATCTTCAGTTTGATGCCTGTTGCCGTAACACCTTTCAGGCTTGCAAGGAGCTCGTGGCGTAGGGGAAAACACTAAACAGTTCGGGGTCCTAGAAGGAGGGCTTCGTGCCAGTGTACAAACGAGCAGCCATGGGTTGCATCTCTGTGGGAGTACAGGGTGCACGTCCTAATTTCAGAGACCGGCTGCCCTTATTAGTGCCCCATTCTCCAGCAAAGGAGTACAACGCAGGCTTGTTTTCAGTGTGTAACTTGAGGCAACCAACCCGAGTTAGTCCACCCTGAGCAAGAAGCAAACCGAGGACCCCTGGGGGTACTGGAGCAATCCCCACTCGGAACAGAAACGCGTCGAGCTGCGCTGTCCCCAGACTGCTGCTTAACTGGCTGTTTACGACACATCATCGGAGACTAAGGGAGCCCGGCCGCTGCAGTAAGCAAACGCCCCGAACTCGGCTCAGCCGCGGGCGCAGTTAGTCGTCCCCAGAGCCGCGCTGTGCTGGGGATGTTCACACCGAGCATCCCGAGGGCTCCGGAGATTCACCACGCGCAGCTGTTAGGCGCGAAAGGTCAACTTCCTACGAGATCCACCCCGAGTCTGGGGGAGTGCTGCACCGGCGTCCAGGCGCATTGCCCTGCACCATCCAGTCGCGCCTTACCTGCCCGCGGCGAATCTGGCAGCCCCTTGACAGCTTCCACAAGCCGCCACTGGAAAAGTTTCCGAACTTCTTCGCAGGTCTGCATGCCCTCGCTTCGGGCAGACCCAAGCAGAGCGAGGAGGAGGAGACAGCGGAAGCCCAGGCGCCAGGTCAGTGCGTCCATCATTTGTGCCCTGGTCGCCCTTTTCTCCTCGCTGTCCACGCGCGCCTTTCGCTGCAGGCGCTGGAAAAGGTTCGGCGGCCGCGGCTTCTGAGAGGCGCTTACTGTCGGCGGGCGCCGACCCCGGCTTCACCTGGGAGCGCTCGGCCTTCTCAGCAGCCCTGAGGCTGGAGCACCAGACTTTTCAGGCGGAACACCGCTAAGTCTCCCCCCTGTTTGCCCCGCCCCCGGGCCACCCGCGCCAGCCGCCAGGGCTTCTGCTCGCCAGCCGCTAACCTGGGAAGTGTCCGCGCGCCAAGCTCAGCGAGGAAGCCCCGCCTCCCCATCCCGCCCCGCCCCGCCCCGCGGACAGGCCACGCCCCCGGCGCGCCGCCAGCCCAGCCCTCGCGGCGATGCAGTCCAAGCTGGGCCCACCGCTGGAGACACCTCACTGAGGCGTGTACTTCAGCAAAGGAACGGATAAGCACAAGGAAATCCGTCCCAGCTCTCCCAGTCTATCCTGGGGACAACACCCTGAGGAAAAGAAGAGAATGTATGAAGAGGATCAGAGCAGCCAGGAGATGAGAAACACCAGCTGCAACTAAGACGAAACATTATAAATCAAGAGCCTCAATACATAGAAGTTTGAATTCAAATTGTATGAAAAGGGATCTGGGCATATTTAATACAAAAGGCAAAAACTCTAAGATCCCAATTGAGAGGCTTGATAGCACTTCTGGGTTTTAAGAGAGTACATGAGGTGACTTCAGTTGCTTTAGAACTTTTTATTACATTACAATTTTCTAACGTTCTTAGTTTTAAGTATTACAATCAAATGTTCTCATTTGTGCTGCCACAGTAGAGTCCAGTTTATTCTCTGACCATCCTGTAGCATCATATTGATATTTTACTTAAGTGCTTTCTGGCTATAGGGGCCCTTCTGAGCTTTACCACTTCTGGAATTTCTTTAAAACATTTCTTAGAGAATTTAATTTAAGGCAAGAGTACTAAGGGGAATTTCTCCCAGGAAGGTAGAAAATTGAAGACTTTAACCCATTTTAAAATGACAAAGGGAAGGGTCAATAGGTGGCATGGTGGCTGAGGTATTGGACTCCCACATGGCTGACCACCTTTGGAGTCCCAGACCTGGTGACTTAAAAATTGCACCAGGCACATGTGCATGTGTGCCCAGAATCCCAGAAATAAAATGGAGAGGGGACTGTGGCAATGGCCGTCCTTCCTGGGGGTGAT